TACTATAATTCCCTAAAATAGGAGTCATATTCCCTTACTACTATAATTCCCACTAAGGTACATGAACCATAAACCCTTTGAGGGCTCATTTTATCCCCAAGGTGGCTCTGTGTGTGTACCGCTGCATTAGGGGATTTGGGGGATTCTCCGAAATCATGGGCACTTTTGGGTGCTGGGATTGTGTTTCTTTTTTTGTGTTGTTTGTGAAGGACATGTTTTTTTTTATAGTAGGATCTGCAAAGGAACTACCATCTAGTGAACCTCCCATTGAGGGTTCTGCTGCAGTCGTACAGTGCTTCGGGCCGTGGCTACGAGTACAAGAAGGGGAACCCAGGCTCTCAAAACATACGCCTCCAAGTATCCAAAAGCACTTACAGCCCTAAACCCTACACCCTGAACCCTAAACACTTATTGGGGTTTTGGGGATGTTGAAATCGAGCCCCTAAAATAACCCCCCCCCTCCTGAAACCTAGTCCCCAAGACCCGAAACCCCTAAAGCCTGAAGAGCCAAACCCCTACACAAGCCTTGATATCTAACCCCGCAATTCAGCCATATACAGAAAGCCTAAGCTAATTTGTTGATGTTGCTCATGTTGCCGTGGCTGATTTTTTCGGGGCTTGTTGGGAAGCTAAGGGGCTTATTGTTAGCGCCGAGCCGACAACGCAACCCCTGCAGCCCAAGCAGCATGCAGTCGCAGCTCCAAGGCGGCGTTGTCACACCCACAAAATGAGCCTCGTAAATTTGGACCCTGCCCATAAAGCCTTGAAAGAGAACCCCCCAAACCTTAAGAAGGCCCCGAGCCCTAAATATGCCCTAAATATGGACATGGGTTCCTGAAAATGAATAACGGCACAACTTTGAAAAATTCGAGTGTCGCACAAACAGATGACATATAAGGTTTAGGGTTTACGGGCGGGATAAGCCCCCAAATAGCCACTAGACCCCTAAACCCGAAATCCTAACTAACCCCTAAGCCTTGAACCCAGAACCCTAAACCCCTAAGCCCCTAAACCCTGAACCCTGAAGCCCTGAACCGTCAACCCTAAACCCCTCAACCCGAAACCCTAAACCCTAGCCCTAAACCCTAAACCCCTAAACCTTGAATTCTTGAATTTCCGAGCCTTCCATGGGTCGTTTGCCTGGATGGCGGAGCCCTGTTGCGCCTTGAAGATAGGCCGGGGCGCCCCAAAGCTTCAGGATATCCGTAGGGTCTAGGTTCAGGGTTTGGGGTTTAGGGTTTAGGGCTTAGGGTTTGGGAATTGGGCTTTGGGCTTTGGGCTTTGGGCTTTGGGCTTTGGGCTTTGGGCTTTGGGCTTTGGGCTTTGGGCTTTGGGCTTTGGGCTTTGGGCTTTGGGCTTGGGCTTCGGGATTTAGGGTTTATTTAGGGTTTAGGGTTTAGGCTTTAGGGCTTAGGGTTTAGGGTTTAGGACTTAGGGCCATTGAGTGGGGTCTGTTGACAACGGTTGCAGGGAAGCTGCTCCGCCACAAGGAGCCTTTCAACCTTTACGCCTATTAAGCCTTAAGCTCTGGCTTAGGGCTTATGAGCCCAGTTTAAGGAGAACCGTTTTTATTCAGGGTTTCCGAGGGTAGTGTTATACTAATTTCCAAACATCTCCCAAAGGACCCAAAAACCCAAAACCGGGTTTGCTCTCAAGAGCCTGGTTTTCAAGAAGAACACTTTCTATTCAGGGTTTTAGAGAGGGTTTAGGGCACCTTCACCCCTAAGCACCCTAAACCCGAAGCCCTGAAGCCCTTGTTTCTTCAAGTGCCACGGGCTCTACAACCACACAGCCTTGAGCCGGGCTTAGGGTTTAGGGGTAACTTCGTACGAAGGCTATAGCTGAGGCTGCAGGCTCGGAGAACCCCAACTTCGGATACTTGCAGCCCTATTTGGTGGTTTCCCAAAAATTGGGGTACCCCTTTTATACCCCAAATAGAATAAGATCCCCTTAGAGGGTCCCCCCAAAAAGAGGGTAACCCTATTTTCGGAACCCCCCCCCATTCCTTACCCTGCTGGACAAGTTTCCTGAGCCTGTTGCAGATGCGCTGGCCCTGAGCCAGATGACCCCCAATCGCCAGACTCTAGATCTCAAGCTCATCCGAAACCCAAAATCCTCAAGGCCTCCACCCTAAATCCTAAACCCTAAACCCTAGGAGGTTTAGGGCAACACCCAAGACCAGTATAAGAAAGCATTAGGGCTCATTCGAAGTACAGTTCAGAGCAAGGTTTTCCTTAGGTTTATTGCTGGGTGCATGTTTGCTACGAGTCATCCAACCCTACTGCATGTGGGGCTTTCCGGAAAGTCCCTAAACCCTAAACCCTAAACCCTAAACCCTAAACCCTAAACCCTAAACCCTAAACCCTAAACCCTAAACCCTAAACCCTAAACCCTAAACCCTAAACCCTAAACCCTAAACCCTAAACCCTAAACCCTAAACCCTAAACCCTAAACCCTAAACCCTAAACCCTAAACCCTAAACCCTAAACCCTAAACCCTAAACCCTAAACCCTAAACCCTAAACCCTTTTCGGGCGTCCCTTTAAGGGGTTCCTATTCTATTTGGGCCGCAAAAGGGGTACCCCCTTTTTGGGGAGATACCTATGTGGTTTACGGTCGTATGCCCTCCTCTTCGGTGGCCCTAAACCCTAAACCCTAAACCCTAAACCCTAAACCCTAAACCCTAAACCCTAAACCCTAAACCCTAAACCCTGCACCCTAACCCCTAAACCCTAAACCCTCGAAGCCAGGGGACTTCAACCTTCTCTGCCTCTTCGGCACCATCGCCAACGCCTGGTATGGCTACAATGGTGTCAGGGTGGACGACTGGGCAGCTCAGCGGCGTTTAGGTTTATTGCTTGTGGCTTCTGCCTAAACCCTAAACCCTAAACCCCAAACCCCAAACCCTAAACCCCAAACCCAAAACCCTAACGAAACCATGCAACCTTGAAGCCCGAAACCCCTGACCGGGCTTTCTGGCGCAGTCATTGGCAGCAGCACAGGCAACCCCTCAAGGGACCTTAGGGTTTAGGGTTCAGGGTTCAGGGTTTAGGGTTCAGGGTTTAGGGTTTAGGCCTTAGGGGCTACATTGGGGCTACGTAGGTATATAGGGACTGTACAAGGTACAGGAAAAGGTATCCAAAGGGGAATAAGATTAAGGGCCCCGTCTAGGTATCCTTTCAAGAATAGTTCAACATACCCCAAAACCATACCCTTAACCTCTAAGGAAGGCTTTTTCCATACCCATGAATTTCTTTTAAGGGCTATGCCCAAGGGGGGTATGCTGAATATTGCTTAGATGAAACGTACAGGGGTTAGGGTTTAGGGTTTAGGGCGTAGGGCCCGGCATGACTTAGGAAGCTGATGAGCAGAGTCCGGCCAAGGTGGAGGCGCGAGTTTCCATGCAGAGGGTTTGGGGTTTGAGGGTTTGGGGTTTGGGTTTTAGGGTTTGGGGTTTGGGGTTTAGGGTTTAGGATGTAGGGTTTAGGGTTCAGGGCTGGTGATTCTTTCCCGAAGCCCAAGGCGCCCTGCTTCACTTCTAGGGGGGATTTAGAATGCATTTAAATTTTCATGGGTCTTCATCATAATCCCGAACCTTAAGAAACACGTAACATTTTCATGTTTGTAGGGCCCCCAGATGTTTTCTACAGTCATCCGAGTCGGGTTTTAAGTGCCCGAAGTTGGGATATCCCCACGTAGAAGCTGATCTTGAGCCTACTTGCTAAGTTCCCTCAGTGAAAACTTGGGATGTTCCCCCGTATACTAACTGTTCTTAATCAGGGTTACAGTAACCCCCCCCCCCCACTGTAATTAATCCCTACTAATGGCTGTTAGTATAGTATAAAGGGGGGAACAACCCAAGTTATAAACCCTAACCCCCAAACCCGAAGCCTTTTTTTAACCTGCAGCCCCATCCCGGCTTCGGCTTTGGGTTCACTGGATGCAACCGCGAAATACCTTTGTGGTACTTTACTGTAACTTCAGATCCTTACCTTTTTTGGGTTTATTGGGTTTCTTGTTAAGGCAGCTAAAAGTTTAATTTATAGCTACCCTCCTGAGTGCAGCCAAGTACGGCCTTCTTGCTCAGGCACAAGGGCTTTGCGATTTCTGCTCTTGGGGTTCTCGGCTCTTATAGGGCTTGGGAAGTCTTAACTGATGCAGCCGGATTGTCTCTACTTACCGATCTGGTTTTGTTGTTTGAAGGGGTTTAGGGTTTGGGCTTAGTTTCAGAGGGCCTCCTGCTGCGATGATGCTGGACAAGAGCAAGGACTTCACTGGCCAGCGCATGCCCAGTGGGTTTCTGGACTATCAGGAGAAGGCCGGTTCTTAAGGGAGGGGGGTTCAAGGGGGAGGGGGGGGTATGTACCCCAAGGTTCCGGAATACTCCCCACTACTCCTGAAGGCTCCCAAAGCTTCCCTAAGCTTCCTTAAGCTTCCCCAGCTACCTACCCCCCGTGAACTTGCCCCCTCAAGAACCCCAGCATGCACTAAACTCTACACCCCTATATAAACCCTAAACCCTAAACCCCCAAACACATAAACCCTAAACCCTAAACCCCAAACCCCAAACCCTAAACCCTAAACCCTAAGCCCCCAGAAGGCTGTGGACTTTCTGCGCCAGAGCCTGCGTGCGCCCGGCAAGCGGGCTCTGCTCGCGCTGGACACCGGCCTTGGGAAACTCAGTCGCTGAATAGGGGTTAGGGTTTAGGGTTTAGGGTTTAGGGTTTGCGGTGCAAGTGTGCACTTTTTTTGGGGCCTATGAACTCAGCAACCAAGGAAATCTGCAGTCGTGAAGGCCAGCATGGCCAGTGCTAGCCTTTTGCTCCCCTTTTGTTGAGGTTTAGGGTTTAGGGTTTAGGGTTTAGGGTTTAGGGTTTAGGGTTTCGGGTTTCGGGTTTCGGGTTTAGGGTTTAGGGTTTCGTTCCCCTTATGCAGAAACCACCCTCCCCCAAAAAAAAGGGCACCCTTATTATCTTATGGGCGCTGGGCTGCCACGAGGCCATGGTGGATCACAACTGGCAGTCCAAGCAGCAGTCCCTTGGACACCAAATGAACCCCCAAAATTGGGGTCATATTCCCCTTACTACTATGATTCCCATTAAGGTACATTCCCATTAAGGTACATGAACCCTAAGGCCCTTTTGGGGTTCATGTCGTCCCCAAGGTCCAAAAGCATCGTCATTGTGCCAGCCACGCTGGTGGACCAGACGGTCACTTGGTGGCCCAGTGGTACCCTTATTTCCCTTTTTGGGGATTCAAGGCTCCCTTTTAGGGTTTGGGGTTTAGGGTTTAGGGTTTAGGGGTTTAGGGTTTAGGGTTTAGGGGTTTAGGGGTTTAGGGTTAGGGTTTAGGGTTTGGGGTTTAGGGGTTTAGGGGTTTAGGGTTTAGGGTTTAGGGTTAGGGTTTAGGGTTTAGGGTTTAGGGTTTAGGGCTTAGGGTTTAGGGTTTAGGGTTTAGGGTTTAGGGTTTAGGGTTTAGGGTTTAGGGTTTAGGGTTTAGGGTTTAGGGTTAAGTAGCCACCCCCCCAAAAAAAGGGGTGCCCTTGTTAAAATATGGCTCCCGGGCTACCAAGGCCAAGACTCTCTTGTACTGGCCCTGGGAGAAACCTTCACCTGTCTTGGAAGGAAAGGACTCCGCCGCCAAACAGCACCTTGGGACCAAATGAAACCCCAAAATTGGGGTCATATTCCCTTACTACTATGACTCCCATTAAGGTACATGAACCATAAGCCCTTTTTAGGGTTCATTTCGCCCGCAAGGCAGCTTCTTCGAGAACGTGGTGTTGCTGTGGTGCGAGGCCAACACTGTCTCAGAGCCTTCCTGGCAGCGCGCCCCGGGGCCCGGGCGCGGGTGGTGGTCTTCAACGCTGGCTACAAGAACCTTGCACACGACATGAACCCCACAATTGGGGTCATATACCCTGTGCCACTATAGTTCATATTAAGGTATATGAACCATAAACCTTGTTAGGGCTGTATATGAACCATAAAACCCTGTTAGGGCTCATTTAGTCCCCAAGGAAGGAGTACGAAGACGGCAGGTTCGACCAGGAGATGGCTGCCCTCCTGTCGGGCCGGGATCTCATCGTGGTGGAGGAGGCATACAGCCCAAGCCATCGTACTTGCTACTATCTCCCCCATATGGGAGTTGTTTTTTATTTTTATTTTTTGTTTAATATAAAACCCAAGAGGATTTTAACAAATTATTATTATTATTATTGAGGTTCTTAAGGGGAGTAGAGGCTACCCCCACCGCCATGCGCCGCGAGGGAGCAGAGTCCTCTTCGTGACTGCCACGCCCGAGAGGCTGTTTCGTTTCGAGGGCTTTCTGACGCATACCTTCCTGGTGAACCTTGGGGACGACATGAACCCCTAAGAGGGTTTAGGGTTCATGTACCTTAATGGTAGTTACCTTAACGGGAATTATGGTAGTAAGAGAATATGACCCCTAATGTTAGGGTTTATTTCGTCCCCAAGGAAGAAGACGCCTCGCTTGCTGCATGGCCTGGGGATGGCGTCACCCAAGCTCGAGCTGTTGCACCTCCAAGAGCCCTGGGGTACCAGCTGAGAACCCTAAGAGGGTCTATGGCACATAGACCTTCATAGGAGTTTACTGTAGTATAGGGTCTATGACCCCAATTCGAATAGCAGCTATAGTAGTAAAGGGTCTATGACCCCAATTCTAACAGCAGTTATAGTAGTAAAGGGTCCATGACCCCAATTTTTCGGGTTCCTTTCGTCCTGAAGGAGGCCCTAAAAGCCCTAAAAGGCTTTATGGCACATATACCTTATGACCCCAATTTTTCGGGTTCCTTTCGTCCTGAAGGAGGGCGAGCCAAGCTTCTTCACAACGGGCTACCTGGGAAACCAGTGGGTGTCTTACCGCGAGATGCACCTCCTGGAGGAGCAGTCTCTGCTACCGAGTAGTAGAGTCGGTAACCTTTAACCTTTTGGGGTAACATAATTTAGAGTGGGTATCCTTTCATCTTTTGGGGTAATATAATTTAGAGTAGGCAACCTTTCGCTTTTTGGGGTAATGTCATTTAGAGTAGGTAACCTTTAGCCTTTAGCCTTTTGGGGGGAATAGAATCCCCGATTAGAGAAATTATCATCCCAAAGGTTAAACCTTTATAGTTCCTAGAGGTTGCTGGACAACCAAGGCTAGCCTTCCTGGAGCAGGAGCGCCGTCACCTGTGCCTCTATGAGTGGCTCCATCACCTACTCGTGCTACCACCGGAAGTGCGGACGTCACTTGGGCAGAGGTTCAGCGAGGATCCCGAGATTGCCGGGCTGGTCCTTGGGCTGGCAGGGCGGCAGTACATCTGGAACTCGGGGTCGGACAATTTCATCCTTGACAGCTTCAAAGCCATTTCCCGGGCCTCGCCTGGCAGGCTCACCCGCTTTCTCTACGCCGTGGCCGCGGCGCGCGGACAGCGCTCGGGGACGCCCACCTGCGAGTGCTGCGCGCTGACAGAATGGCACCTAAGCAACCTGGCGGCGTACTTTCGGCAAGGCATCTTCCAGGAGTCGGTGGAGCTGTTGGCGCAGCTGCTGCGGGAGGCGACGACGCCCAAGGAGGCGGAGGGCCCGACCTCCTTTGGGCACTTCGGTGCGACCATCGTCCGCTGCTCGTGCCAGGCGACCATCCAGAACCTGGTGAGCGAGCTTGGGGGAAGTGCCTCCCCCTTCGAAATCCACAAGTTGACGACCAGCCTCACGTCGCCCCAGCGCACCCGGGTGATCCAGGCCTACATGAGCTTCGGGGGTGACCGCGCAGCCATGTGCGTGCTCCGGCGTGGCAGGGAGCAGCTTTATGATCAGGGCAACCCCTTGGGTCGGCCGCACATCCTGGCCCTCGTGTCCCGATTCGTGACGCGCCACCACGTCCTGCTGGCAGATGGTTCCATCGATGTGGGCATCGAGGCCCTCCATCGCTGCACAGACAGCGTGGTGTTGCAACAGCTGCCCGCATCCTATGCCCAGCTCCTACAGCTCGGCGGCCGCGTCTCCCGGCTGGCGCTGGACCTTGGGCGGCCCCAGCCACCCATCGCCGTGCGGTGCCCGATGCGCATGGGCACCGTCGAAGAGCTCCTGGCTCGGCACATGCGGTGCGAGTCGGAGCGAGAGCGGAAGCTCACAGCAAGGGGCCAAAGTTGCCCCGAAGGCGCCACCTCGCCCAGGCGCCGCCTGTATGGCAAGCGCAAGGTGGCGCATCTCGCGTAAGAGCTCGCTTGTTTCCAGCTTGATAAGGAGGTCGCGATTTTAGTTCCTGAAAAGCTGCACAAAGTGAAGGCGGGACACCAAAAAAGTCGGCAGCCTGAGGGCGACAGGGCTCACGTGGGATTTCAGTGTCAGGGCTGTGCAAACACACCCTCGTGGTTGCTAGGGGCTTATGCGGCGCGTGGGACTTATGGGGTTTACAGGGTTTATAGGGCCATAGGGTTCAGTTGGGTTTATATGGTCTATATGACGACATAGTTTTCATGATTTACAGGGTTTCTGGGTTTGTAGAATCAAACCCTAAGCCCTAAACCCCAAACCCCAAACCCCAAACCCCAAACCCTAAACCCTAAACCCTAAACCCTAATCTACAGGCCTTCAAGGGTTTAATTGCCTGATCGGGATCTGATGGATGTTTGTGAAAAGAGGACATGGATCGGCAGTCTGATGAAGAAGAGGAGGAAGAGGCACCCCGCTCCACTGTGGGGGGTTTTGGGCTCTGGGGCTTGGAGTTCTGGGGTTTTGGGCTTTGGGGCTTTGCGGTTGAGGGGTTTAGGGGTTAGGGCTAGGGGTTGGGTTTAGTTGTTGAGGGGTTTAGCGGTTCTAGGGGTTTAGGGGTTTAGGGGTTTAGGGGTTTAGGGGTTTAGGGGTTGGTTTGGGGTTTAGGGGTTTGGGGATTTAGGGTTTAGGGGTTTAGAGGTGAGGGGCTTTGGCCTGCTCCACTGTCAAAGACTCAAGCGCGACACGTGTGTAGACGCTGAGTGTCCTGGTGGTCTTTGTTTTCCTGCTTAGCTACTTGTGGGCGCCCGATTGAGTTCAAGGGCTTTGTTAGAATCCAGGATGATGTATCGAAAGCTCTCAACAAGCGACCCTAAGCCCCAAACCCTGAACCATCCTTGACCCCAAAACCCTGTGATATCTTGGGATGTTGAGGGTTACAGCCTCCAATAAGACCCTAAGACCCGAAACCCGAAGGGTTTAGGGGTTCGGGGTTTTGGGGTTTTGGGGTTTTGGGGGTTTTGGGGGGTTTTGGGGGTTTTGGGGGTTTTTGGGGTTTTTGGGGTTTTGGGGTTTTGGGGTTTTGGGGTTTAGGGGTTAGGGGTTTAGGGTTTAGGGGTTATACCTTCTTTTGGGCTTCAAGGTCCTTTTGGGAAGCCCTGAGAAGGGGATTCAAAGGCTTGAAGGCTTTGAGGGTTGCAGCCGAATGTCTTAGATATCACCGGCCTATAGTAAAGGCCCTAAGCCCCCAAACCCCTAAACTTTGAGGTTTAGGGTTTAGGGTTCCGGGTTCAGGGTTTAGGGGTTAGGGTTTAGGGGTTAGGGTTTAGGGTTTAGGGAACCCCTCAACCCCTAAACCCCTAAACCTTGGGCCGACAGTTGTAGGTCGCTGCCTTCATCTTCGACCCCTTGGCGGCGACGGAGGACGTGCAAAGAAGCTGGGAATGTGGTCTGTGCACCCCACACCCTAAACCCCAAGACCCTAAGCCTTACTGCCTAAACCCTAAACCCTAAACCCTAGGTATGTTTGTGCTCTGAACCCTGAAACCTGGTGTGAGAGTTCGGGCTGCTCTGGGAGTTTAGGCTGCAGGGTCTGCGCGGGAGCTCTCTCTCTAAGGGTAGCCACATGGTCCCTGAAGACGGGTTCAGGGTTTAGGGGTTTAGGGTTTAGGGTTTAGGGTTTAGGGTTTAGGGTTTAGGGTTTAGGGTTTAGGGTTTAGGGTTTAGGGTAGTTTAGGCGCCTCAGCCTAAGGATCTGAAGTCCGGGCTTGGGTTTATTCAGTGTATAAGGGGTATATAAGGGTCCCCATACTGAGAGACCATGCAACTACCTAAACCCTAAAACCTAAACCCTAAACCCTAAACTCTAAACCCTAAACCCTAAACCAGAAAAAAAACACTTCTTCTCTGTTCAGGGACTCAGTGTCGCATAGCGCCCTCGCAAAGGTCGGTCGTGGAGCCACGAATAGTTCTTTTGGGCATCCCCAGCCTTAAACTCCTCAAGCCCGAAAGACTCCAAGTCGTGTAGGGTTTAGGGTTTAGGGTTTGGGGTTTCGGGTTTAGGGTTTAGGGTTAGGGTTTTAGGGTTTAGGGTTTAGGGTTTAGGGTTTAGGGTTTAGGGTTTAGGGTTTAGGGTTTAGGGTTTAGGGTTTAGGGTTTAGGGTTGAAGCCCGAAGCTCTTCAGGACAATCTTCCGCTGCAGCGGACGGCCACAGTAGCCTTCCCCCGGGCACTCCAGAAGGATCCCTGTCGAGCACAAGGCTGGGAGTTCGTTGTTTTGGGGTTTGGGTTTAGGGTTTGGGGTTTCGGTAGGGTTTAGGGTTTATATAGGAGTCCCTGCCGAGCACAAGGCTGGGAGCTGACGTGTTCATTGCTTCGGGTTTAAGACTGTTTACGGTTTGGGGGTTTAGGATGGTGTAGGGTTTTGGGTTAAGGGTTTAGGGTGGTTTAGGATTAAGGCCTGAGGCTGGCTTAGGGGTTTGGAAATTCGCTTGGGTTCCCAGAGGGTCATAATTGGGGAACAGGTGAAACTGTGCACGTTTGAACTGACTCACCCTAAGTAAGGTAAAACTAAACGATGTAGTAGGTTCGAGGGTTCAATAGGGGCTGTACGGTACGGCGGGCTAAGTTGCGACATCAGTGCACCCTGGAACATGGCTTTGCTCCGCGTCTTTGCGTGATCGGGGCTGTGCAGGTGGGTTTTGCCTGCACAGAAGGATGTCACCATGGCGATGGTGATAAGCCCAAAACCCTAAACCCTAAGCCCTAAGCCCTAAACCCTAAACCCTAAACCCTAAACCCTAAACCCTAAACCCTAAAACCCTAAAACCCTAAACCCTAAACCCCTAAACCCTGTTAGGCGACCGGCGCTGGTACTCTCGCTGGCAGGGACAAGGTTGAAAAAAATCATTGGATGGACTCCCGCTGCTACTTGGAGGTTCATGGCACTTATCAACCAGTTAGAGCTGTACTTATATCTGTACTCATAACCATGTTAGGGCACTACAGGGGCTTATGACCATGTTAGGGCACTAAAGGGGCTTATAAGTGGGTTATAAGTACAGTTATAATTGGTTAATCAGTACCATGAACCTTCAAGTAGGGAGAATGCCCCGCTTTGCAGGGAGGATGTCACGAAGCATCTTGGCGCTCGCAGGACGGAGGGTGGCACTCTAAAACCCCCAGAGTTTAGGGTTTAGGGTTTAGGGTTTAGGGATTAGGGAAAGCCCTTAAGCATCTTAAACCCCTAAAACCCCTAAACCCAAGCCCCTAAAACCCTGAACCCCTAAACATCCGCATTAAAAGCCCTAAACCCCCTGAGACCCCTAACCCTAAACCCTAACCCTAAACCCTAAACCCTAAACCCTAAACCCTAAACCCTAAACCCTAAACCCTAAACCCTAAACATCTGCACTGTGAGGCTCGTTTTGCAAGAGGCGACGAGCGCTCGTCTGCCGGCCTGAGATCTCAGCTGCACTCCGGGTTCCGGGTGTGCCCGGTCCATCATAGAACCCTCAACCCCAAGCCCTAAACCCTAAACCCTAAACCCTAAACCCTAAACCCTAAACCCTAAACCCTAAACCCTAAACCCTAAACCCTAAACCCTAAACCCTAAACCTTTCGATATAGAGATACGGGGCCTAGCTTCCTCCCCATTTCCTACCCCAAGAGCCATCAGCTTTAGGTGAGGGAGTCCTGGGTCTGTCGGGTTTATGGTTTAGGGTTGAGGTTTTAACACTTAGAGGGTTATTAGAGTGTTATTAGAGGTTTGTTATAGTCACTTTAGGGTTTTAGAGGGTTATTAGAGTGTTATTAGAGGGTTGTTATAGGTCACTTTAGGGTTTTTTTTAAGGCCTTTCGGGTTGTAGGGTTTTGGGGTTTTTGGTGTTACTTCAGGGTTTTAGGGCTTTTGGGGTTTAGGGGCTTTAGGGTTTGTTAGGGTTTTTGGGCTTTGTTGGGTTTATTGTTTTTAGATTTGAGGCCAAATCAGGGCTGTAGGGCTGTCGGGGTTTCAGGCTTGCAGGAAGATTTAGGGTGTTTTAAGGTTTCGTTGCGGGTAGAATTTGGGTGTTTTAGGGTTCAGGGTTTGGGGCTCACGCCTTCCAGTTGGGATTTTCCCCCGTATACTAACAGTCCTGAATGGGGATTATAGTACCCCCCCCCCCCATTATACTCCCCAGTAAGGGCTGTTCGTACAAGGGGGAACATCCCAACCGTTCAGTGTCAGAAGGGCTCGAGGTTACAAGGAGGGGCCCCCTAAACCCTAAACCCTAAACCCTAAACCCCAAACCCCAAACCCCAAACCCTAAACCCTAAACCCTTGAGGTTATAGGGGGTATCAGGGCATGATTGCTGTGCTTCCACGGGTCGGGTGCATGAGTTCATGCCCACCGCCATCTCGTAGCGGCCAGTTTCCCTAGACCCTAAACCCTAAACCCTAAACCCCAAACCCCAAACCCCAAACCCTAAACCCTAAACCCTAAACTCCTTAGGGTTTTAGGGGTCTAGGTTGTAGGGCCCCTATAGGGCTAAGGTTAGCTTTGGTTCGACCATCGCCTCTGCGGGCAGTTTTGAGCGCATCGATGTTGCTTTGGGCTTATCATGTCAACCCTATATCAGCCTTGTTTTGGAAACGCTCTGAACCCTGTAAAGCCTACAAATTCTAAACCCTAAGCCCTAAGCCCTAAGCCCTAAACCCTAAACCCTAAACCCTAAACCCTAAACCCTAAACCCTAAACCCTAAACCCTAAACCCTAAACCCTACAGGAAGCGCGAAATCCGAGGCCCCAAGCCAACATCCCAGACGGCGAGCTCAAATCCTTGCTTTTTTCATTGTCCTAAAACCGTGAAACCCTTCAACCCTAAAGACTGATGAAGTGAGGATCCACATACTTTTGTGCGAAAAAAGGTCAATCCCGAAATACAACCCAAATAAAAACACTCTAAGCATGTGTCGGGGTTTTCCAGGTGTGTTGTGAGGGGCCTTTTCGGGGCCCCAAACCCCA